CCCTGCCGTGTTTCCTGGACCTGGGCCGTCCCCTGGGCACCCTAGTGGCCCTGGCTACATTTGATACTTTGGCACACTCTGCCTCATCTCTCAAAGCCTTTTCATACAGGAAAGGGTAGGACCTAGGGTCACTCCCATGGACCTGGGTCCAGTACTCCAGGACTTTCATCTTGCTGGTTTCAGCACGTGCTCTTGGACCCCAAAGGAACTCATAGCAAGCAGGATCACTCCCAGGCACCCGTCGATACTCCAGGTACTGTTCCTGCACCAAATCTTCAGTGATGAGCTTTCTAGGCTCCCCGTAGATGAAGTGTTCCCTCTCAGGATACACCCCCATCACACTCAGCATTTCCCAGACATCTTGCTCACAGGCACGGTCCCCCACCATGAAGATGATGCACAGGATGATTACCAGAAGGCCCGTCTTGGGCATGCTCTGGTCATCGCCCTGCATCCCATCATAGGTGAGGCCCAAAGCATTAACAACAGCATAGGAGTGGTTGGAGGGGTCCACCTCCTCAACATGAATACCAAAGACCAGGTGCATGCACTCAGAGGCCACACTGAAGACCACAGGGAAGTCCTCCTGGTTATTTTTGATGACGCTACTCAGCATTTCGGCCTTGGTGGTCAGCTCCTTCATTCGATACTTGAGAAGCAGGAACTGCACCAGGTCAGCCATCTTCTCATCCAATGGGTCTCCCAACAAGGACCTATGGCCTTTCAGGTTCTTCCAGGAGAACCGACCTTCTGCTTCTTGGCTGCTGGAGAGGTGGAAGAACGGGAGGCCCGGAGTGGGGGCCGTGGCAACAGAGAGAGCGGAAGATCTCTCAGGCACCTGTGCACAAATCAGTGGCTCAGGACAAGGCACCTTGCTAAGGGTAGGTGTGGACCTGGAGGAGATGCAGGCAGAGGAGGACCCCTCCTCCTCAGGCCTGAGAACCTGCACACCATTGAGGCTTGGTGCCTCCCTTTGGGCCTTAGGTTCTCCTTTGTCCTTGTGGTGCTGGCGCTTCTGACCGTGAGAGGACATGGCTTTCCTTGGGCACAGCAGGCAAGACAGTGGGCAGGCGATCAGTCCTGGGAAAGAAAGGGATCCAGCCAACTGAGAACCACGCCCTTCTTGGTGCTCACAAGGGCCCAACCAGTCATCTGCTAAGGTGGTGATCTAGGGCTACTCAGGCTCCTGTCCTTCGCGTGGGCCTGACTCCTTGAGAAACCGAGGCAGGAAGTGAAACAGCTTCTCAGGTGAGGCTGGCTTGCAGAGCACAAGGCCCCAGGGCTGACCTAGGCCTGTGGGCTAGGTACACTGTTCTGCTGAGTTGGGCCCTTGGCATACACTCCCAGCATGCACATCACCAGGACTCCCAGCTCTGCCTGGGCCTCATCTGCTCTGTGACTGGAGTGAAGACTGCAAGCCCAACCCTGGACCCCTAACCATAACAGGAGGGACTGGTCCATCTCTGTGAGGCCTGCAGAAATCTCAGTTGGATGGTCTTATTAGTGGTCACTCTGTGCCCTCAAAACTCCCCTGGAAAAGCCTGGAGTCAAGCTCATGTTGACCTGAGGTGAACACTCTGAACAAACATCCACTTCTGTGAGACAGAATAAAGGCAGTGAGGGGCCCGGCGTGGTGGCACATGCCTATAATCCCAGGGGATGGGGAGTCTGAGACAAGAGGGTTGCAAGTTCAAAGCCAGCCTCAGAAAAATGAGGCACTAAGTAACTCAGGGAGACCGGGTCTCTTAATAAAATACAAAACAGGAGTGGGGGTGTGGCTCTGAGGTTGAGTGCCCCCGAGTTCGATCCCCCATACTCCCCACATGAAAAGCAGCGAGGGGGCTCACGTCTGGTCACAACTGCCCAGTGGTGATGCTACTAGCTAGCCAAATTCATTGGGGTCCATGTGTCCTGGCGTGGAGAAACTGGATCAGTCCTAACCTTAAGGACCATCAAGGTGTGAGACTTGTTTCTCTCTCTCTGATGACCTGAGGCCACCTTCCTTAAAGCAAAGTCAAT